CGTGGTTGTTCTTAGAAGGCCTAATAAAACTATTGAGCTCCAGTCTTTCCGAAAATCGCCCCATAAATTACGCGGATCTGGCTTTTGTTGCAATTGGAATTTTGGCATTAATTCCAAAAATTTCAAAAGTGAATTGGCTAGATTTCTCTAAAAAAATACATGTATTCTATTATTATCTCCCACAAGTTGTTGCTGTTTGTTAGGGTATTAATCTAACTCAAACAAATTCAAGAAAATAATTAACCTCAAAAAGTATGTACTGGAAAACTATAGGGATAATCGAAATTTTTCATAGGAATTTTGTAGGAAATTTAATTTTGAACACCTTTTATTTGAAACTCTTTTTAGAAAAAATGCATCTTCATTGAGATATTGGCAGTTTTTGGTAAAAAAACGCTTATTTTTTATACAGGCAGATTGCAATTGCCATATATGCAAAAATTCTGGGTTGTGGTAGATGTTACACCTTCATGGAACAAATATAACGCGATTTTTTTTATTAAAAATTACAAATTAGTTTGAAGTCAAAAGCCCCATAATTTTCAAGACAAAAAACGATTCTTCATGAAATTGCATTGCATTTCATTGTTTAATAGGGATACTTATATGAAGTTTCAATTTGTTTAGAACAATATTATTTTAATTTTCATAAGTGATTATCTATATTGTAGTTTAAGTGGAATAAGATTATTCATTTAATTTTAAATATGCATTAGATAACTAAAACTATTGAAGTAAAGATGTTCATGTAAGTACCTACATACCAGAAGGATATTGATAATAATGTAATTATTTTTACTATTATTTTAATTCTTACATATGAAAATAATTTTACAGTAGCAATCCCTCTGTAGATGAATATAAAACGAATATTATTTTTAAAATTCTTTTCCCAAAAAAATAACTATAAAATTTTTCCAGCTTCAGTGAGACAGTCTCTGAAATATTTGCAAAATTCGAATTTTCCTTCAACAATATTTGATGAAGACATATTCTCATCATCTTTACCACAATTTTCTTAATTCAACCGTAGAAATTCGAACAGTGTTTTCTTTTCTCTCTGTTTCAATCAATAGTAAGCAATTAATATAGCTTTAGTTGGGGGAAGACAAAGAACATGAGTAACATCAAAACATTCTACCATGGTGGTTAAATGTGTTTACTTACTACCTGTAAATATTTTATCATTATTAACATCTGTCATATGTGAATAAAACAATTGTATTACTTTATAATAAAATGGTATAGCCGTGTATTTTAATTAATTTATGTTTTTCTTCAGATAAATTAAATATAGCAATCAAATAAACGAACTAATAAAAAGGACACAAGCATTTATCTTTAAATGATAAAACTGTAAGAATTAAATGTCTTAGTCTCACTTTTGTTTTTTTTTTCAATATAAATATGGACGAAGATTTGCCCTGATTTTAAAAGACAATCAGTGGAGCAAGAAAGTAATCAGTTCGGCTCAAATTAAAAACAAAGTAATATTTAATGAAAGTAAAAAAAATGTTGCTTTTTTTGAAGTTAACTTAATTTGCATCTTATGTATAAGTTCAAAAGTTTTCTTGTTAATTTTATTATAACTCAAACGTAAAAGAAATTTCTTCTTCAAATCTCGTCAAAGTACTTTTTCAATTCATAAAATTTTGATTAAATTACAAAAGCCAATACCCATATTTTACTGTATTCGCTATAATTCATAAGTTAGATAAGACTTTTCGTGGGTTTTGGATCATAATGTTCAGATAATTGAAAGGTAAAAATATCCTAAGTCAAAACCTTGTGGTCTTATTTAAACATTTTTTGAAGCAAACTTTATTAATGTTCTGCAGAATGTTTTTAAATGAAGTAGCACAAGTGCTTCCAGTGCTAAGACTAAAATATGATAATTATGTTCCAAAGTTTATTCACTTGCGAATTACACGTTGTTTAAGTTAAATTTAAAGATAATATTATTGTAACTGCGAAACCAATTAACTAATTACGTTAAAGTATAAATATATACCTACATAAAATTTCAATATTTTTAGCTCCAGTAACTTGCTATTATCATAACCAGAACCCATTTTAGAATTGAAAATGTTCACTGTTAAATAATTTGTACCTTTGCTTGTTTTCGTTAATTACAAATTTAGTAACAATTCAGTCAATATTGTATCAATTTCTGCCAACGCCAGATTGAGTAAAATTTTTACTATCTTCATAGGAGTACAATAGCAATTTTACGTGTTAAGGAAGAATTGACCCAACTCAAATACGAGTTTCTGTAACTTCCCAGTGAGTGACTTTTTATTTTATCACGGGCATATAAGAACAATTTAGAGTTAAGTTTTTATAATGTGATTCAACCATTATTAAATTCGTTTTTACTCAGACGAAATTATTATAATGAAATTGATTAGATGCTATATACTTACCTATTTAATTCTTTGTCAGTTCATCGGGCATTATAGTTAAGAAACTTCAATATTTACTTGTGACTTATAATAAATGCAATGAAATTATTTGAGTAGAATTTTACATACACTCGAAAGTGTTATAAAAGCTATATCTTAATAAATTTTCTTGAAATAGATATTTAAAAGAAAAGGGAATCAGTAATCAAAATGGACACCCCAAATTAAAAAAATATTGAACAAAACTAGTGAATTTAACATGACATATGATAAATAAAAGAGAAATACTTGAACTTTTACAAAACAGAAACTTATCGAATGAATAAGATTATTATTAACTTAATAATAATTCATTTCATTAACACAAATTTCACCAAAGATGACCTACCAATGGGATGTGATTATACAGGGTGTCTCATTTTAAATTACGCGCCTGAATATTTTGTCAGGGAAGCCACCAATCCGAAAATAACCCTTACAAAAGTTGTTGAACTTAGGATTTGACCTTGACCTTGAATTTTTTTTAATAGGAATCTTTATTTTTGACCCCATATTCGGAAAGCGCGCAAAATTTTACGTTTAAACAGGTACTTAAGGTTCTTCTTTGAATGGGCTTTAAAGGTTATTTCAAGGACAAAATATTTTAAATTACGCACCTGAACATCTCGGCAGGGAAACCACCAATCCGAAAATAACCCTTTCGAAAGTTGTTGAATTCGAAGGGGAATATCGATGATCTTCAATTTGACCTTGACTTCGAGTTTCAAGGCCATTTGAAGGTCAAATCTAATTTTTTTAAGTAGGAACCTCTATTTTTGACTCCGGATTTGGAAAGAGTACAAAATTTTAGCACGTTTAGATAAATACTTAAGTCTCGTTTACGTTTAGATAGATACGTTCATTTACGTTTAGATGGTACTTAAGGCTCTTCTTCTTCGTCAAGGTCAAATTGAAGGACACCATCCGATATCCTCCTGCGAACGCAACAACTTTTGTAATGGTTAATTTCGGATTGGTGGCTCCCCTGACGAAATATGCAGCTGCGTAAATTATAATATTTTGTCCTTGAAATAATCTTTAAAGGTCATTCTAAATAAGAGCCTTAAGTACCTATATAAACGTAAAATTTTACGCTCTTTCCGAATCTGGGATCGTTAGTATTTAAAAAAAATTAGACTTGACCTTCCAATGGCCCTGAAGTTCAAGGTCAAATTGAAGGTCACCATCCGATGTCCCCCTCCGAACCAAATGTCTTCCGTAAGTGTTATTTGCTTCCCAGACGAGATATTTAGGTGCGTAATGTAAAATGGGACACCCTATATTATCGTACTCCATGCCAAATTTGATTATAGTTTAAATATTATCTGATAGAATTTATTTAAATACACTGTGGTATACAAAAAAATTGTATTTACCTAATTAGTGAATTTAAATAATATCTGGATTAATAACTAAATTGACAACATAATTATATTCAGTACATTATTTATAGATTCCGACATTTAATATCACAATAATTATTATTAAATTAATTATATTTTAAATAATAAGAATTTAGAATACGACTCACGTAAGCCAGTGATAGTTCCTCCATTTAATTTCTTTCGTTTTCAACTCTAAAGTAGAAATGTGCAAATGCGCTAAGCGTAAGAATTATCCAAAGAAAATAGGCTGTTTTTGCAATTATTTAAAATTAATGTTGCTGTTTTACCGTACTAAATCGTACTTGGAGATTGAATCAAGTGTTGCTTTATACGTTTAAGCTGATAGTCTAAGCAGCGAATTTAGCTGTGGGATTGCGACCGACATTCATCTTTTATATTCGTTAGATTTCTATCTAGATGGATTTCCAACTGCTGAACTGAATGACTTCATTAAGCCTTTTAAATTTAAATAGACCTCGCAGTTGTCAAGTGCAAGGCATTGCAAAAAATAACAATAGGAATATTTTAACGACTTTCCAAGAATGCCTCGAAAAATATATAATCATTTAGATAAGTTGGAAAAAATCTTTATCTTTGGAAATTGTGTTTCTTTATTACAGAGCCAAAACAAATTCACTATTTCGACTGGGATAACTTATAGGATTATTAAAATAAAAACAAAAGAGCTTCTTCTAAACTTAATTAAAAACGGATATTATTAGAAAGGATATTAGTAGATAAGCTAGGGGCGTACGGAGCCAAAATCCCATGTATTTTCTTATGAAGGTTCATCCTGGTCATTTTTGACGAATTTTACCCCCTCCACTCCACTTTTAGGCCACGCCCATCGACCAGTCAGAGCGTAGCATTCAAATTGGCCACATCTCTCGACCAATCAGATCGCGGCAAATTGGCGCTAAATTTAAAATCGAGTAACGATAGGTTGTTTGATCANTTTGAATATATCTGGTATGTGTTTTTGTATTATATTATGTAATTATTGTAATGATAGGTATTGTATTGTACGTATTGTATTATATTATTCAATGGCAGAATGGCGAGTCTTTGTCAATAATTTTTTGTTAACAAAACTTATTCTTATCACAGAAACCGACTGAAGTAACACTTTATAAGAAATAAATTTGAAAAAAGAAAAACGTTTTTTATGTTCTAGGTGGATCTCCGGCATTTGGACGAAATGAAAGGTTCCAACGTGGTGGACATCGGTATCGATTTGACAGAGTTTTACACTTCCGTAGAATGGGATATATTAGAAGTACCTGCTGTCAGGTAGGCAAAAGACAAAACGATTTAACATTTTTCCTTTACGTTTTATTTCCGCTACTTAAATACTCATTTGTCTGTGTCGCATCTAATTCGCTATGGCTGAATAAATCTCGCATGAAATTAAGCCGTGATTTTTGGTTCCTCCTGACAGGCCTGATCGACAAAAAGTTAACTGTCCTTTTCCGTAAAAGTTTTGATTCACAAAATTTAAGTAGCTGCGTAATAATATAGGTCACATTAAATGGATTTCTAGGATTGTAAAGCATTCAGAATAGTGTCTACACCACTACATTAATAGGCTTGAAAATTGTGTGAAATCTAAAATAAATTATTACTGGCGCATTCGCCAAATTTAACAATTTCAGCAACAATTATAATTATATTTTACCTATTTTAAATTATCGTGAAATGCTTCTTTTGCGTTTGAAATTACAAAAGCATTTCACAATCGATCAAGTTCAAACAATGTTTTTTCGAAAATTAATAAAAAAATGTGAAAAAAAATTGTGAATTGATATCAATTGTTCAATTGGAACTTTAAATTGAAATATTTTGAAGAATAGTTCATTAAATGTCAAGTGATTGTTACAACTGAGGTTTATAAGCATAAATGTCTAACTTTTTAATAAAAATTCGCAGGACTTGATAGTAACTTACTTAATACAAGGTCGTGTTTGCTTGAATTCTTGTTTGTTTTATCAACTTATTTATCTTCAGCTCACTACTGTAGAATGTTTCCATGTAATATGTATTTTTAAATTTATATCATTAATTTTACTTGGAATTTCTAGCCTAAGGTAGGATTCGAATTTGCTAGAAGTTCTTTCTATACAATGCATTCGTACAACTTGAACTGAACACTTTCCTGTGTTATAAAATATGAACTGTCTATGACTGATGTGCAGTGTCCTTAGCTGTGAATAATTCCTATAAAGTCACATAGCTCTTTTTAAGTTTACAGTAAACGATCTGGTGGCATTTGTTTTGGTTTTTATTCTAATCGACGATTGTTTCCTTATCTTCTATATTTTCATCGTATACGAACGAACTCCTCTAGGTAGGTACACCTGTGGAACATATTTCATAAATGTTACTTGTTTGAAAAGCTTGCTATTTTTTAGTGGTCAGAATGGATAAACTCCATAAGGTCGAAGAGACCATTTGGTATGACTTGTATTTTTCCAGTAAAATAGCGTATATTGCTTTCGTAATTGCTTCCAAAATTTTTAGTAAAATTTAATTTTCTGCTTCTGAGGCTTAATTGTCTGAATACATACTTTCAAATTTGCGAAAACTTTTCGTAAGAATTGTGATATTGTTATTTATAATTTATCTTGTATATAATCTTTTCCAAGTCCATACAAAATTGTTGGAAATTTTTAGAATTTTCACTTCACCAATAACTAATTTCGTATACTTCTTTTTCTTCTGTTCCATTATTGCTTCTTTCTACAATAGTAACATCTACCAGCAATCAGCTAAATTACTCCTAAGAATTTTCTCTGCTGCTTGCTTTTTCTTTTCTTTTCTACTTCCTTGATGTTGCTTTAGGTATTTTTACTATTTCTGTTTTAAAACGTGAAAATAATACATTTATGAAGAAAAATCTGCACTTTTGACTAAGATGTAAATATTTCAAGTTGATTTTAAATATGATGAACTTTATTTTAAAATTAACCAGAATATACATATTAATTTCTTGTTTCATTATAGATAGAATATGCAACAGAAAATGTACAAACATGAGAATATGCATTAGATAAAATTAAGAAAAAAATGTATATCAATCTTAGTCCGGAAATATATCGTTCACTAGTTTTCTGGAAAAAGATATTTTTTCCATTACGTTTTTGTAAAGCTGTGATTATCACAGCTTTACAAAATCTGACATAGTAATGCTGCATTTCAGTTACTAATACAATTGGGAGTAAGGAGTAACTTCTGCATATTTAGAAAAAATCACTAAATTTATGTATTTAATCTGAAGGCGGGCACTACGAAAAATTAAACTAACATTTTTTAAGGAGTTTTCACGGCAGTGGAAATTCAAATGTATAGTTGTTACGATGTCAATTGGAACCTGAAAATCTTAAAGCACAGGACCGTATGCACTTCTCCTGAAATTTCTTCCTATGCTTTGACCATGATGTGTCTCGTAATTTTTACTCGAATAGCAATTCGGCGAGTCCTTTATTGGTAAACTAGTCCGCCTGATGTAGAATTGACAGTGGCGCGCTGATCATCAAAGCAAACCTGTATTGGTCCACTAGGTCGTAAATAATTTTTTTGTATGGTACACGCGTTCACTTAGCTTTGTCGCTTTGCCAGTGCAGTACAGAGCATTGCGTGGCATGTGTTGGTATAATACGTATTATTATTTATTAGTTGATATTATTTGTTCATATCGTAACCAGTAAAGGGTAATAGTTATTAAAATAAATGTCATATGTAATTATCTAGTAATTTAGCGTGGCTGTCTGGAGACTCTTTGAAGCGGAGGATAACGAAATAACTCGGGGAATATCCTCAAATAGTGGAACCGGTTTTTGTCGAAAGTATCGAACCAAACTCAGAGTTTAAAAACAAAGATGTATACGTAAAAAGTCAAAGTATTATATTAAATATATATGAATGTTTGAAAATTGAAAATAGTGAACAATGTGATAAAAAAGTTAGGAAACAGATTGACGAATTAACTAAGATATCAAAAACGACAATTTATCCCGTAATTAAAGAAGGATTGATCACGGTACAAAGAGGAAACGGGAAAGTACAAAATTAAAAAAAAATTGACGATTTACCAGATGTAATGCGACGCACAATTTATAATATGTATAATGAAAATAAAGTTCCTGCTTTAAACATGATTCGAGATAAACTAAGGATTATCCTGATTATAATTATAAATCTTTAGATATTTTACGACATGCTCTATTACAATGCGATTTTAAACATAAAAAACTTGACAATCGTATGGTAATTATATGATAATATAGCTCGAAATATAGTATATTTAGACGAGACAGGGCTAAAGTTTTCTGGACGTCTATGGATTTCGTAGAATTTATGAGTTAAATGTTTTTATACGGTTCCAATTGAGATCGTAACAACTATACCATGCGGTGTTGAAAGCACTTAATGTAGGTATTACTGTATCAAATTTTGTGGAGCTGTTATTACACACATTTAAAATATTTAAAGAATTTTTTTTCAAAAAATTTTAGTCTATCAGAAAATCGATGCATTTCCCTCCACTGTAAATCTCTATCTGAGTGAAAGCTGATTGAATCCATTGAGTGAAATTATTGAGTACATTTTCAGTCAGTATTGGGCCTACTCATACTAATAGAGGAAAATTTCACTCAATCGAGTGGGCAGAAATTGATGCATTATTGAGAAGCGAAATTAAGTCCAATTTTTCTTATCATGGTTTATATAAAACGGTTTGCTCGTTTTTACGAAAGGAATATTCTCATAAAATGTATGAATTTATTTCTGAAACATCATGTAGGTATGTCAAAAATTATCTATATCATAAAAGTTAAAGCACGGGCAAAAAATGCGTTTTGTAATTTGTTTTAAAATTTTCTACTATTTTGGTCTATTTTCAGAGAAAAGCAAGGTTTAGGTATCCATCCACAGAGAAATTAAAAATAAAAATATATTATATGAAAAGAATACTATGACAAATTATAGCAAATCAGATATACCTAACATCTGTTTTTGTATTTGTGATACTAACCATGCTTACTATATCCTGTGTTAAATATAAATGAATAGATTCATAATAACAAGCAGAAAATCACTCTTGTTGTGTGTTTAATCAAGCTCTGTACAAATCTATGTACATTTCAATTTACTGTTTATATTTGTTTATCTAATATGTAAAATATGAATTAGTAAGGCAAAATTGTGACTAGAATTTGCCAATATTGATAGGTACAAATATTAAGCAGTTTTTACAGGTAAATTGTTCATAGATATTCTGATATTTTTCTAAAAATGTTTTAATTTTTGTAATATTTTTGTAAACTGAAATATTTGTTCAAATTCAAACTAATATGAAGGAAATTATTGTTCAAATGAAAAAAATGTTGGAGAAGCACCAGAATTACATAATAAAATATAAATTGCCTGAAAAAAATTATGTTTCCACAATGGGTAAATAAAAGGAAAAGAGATTACACTTAAGTACTTTTAAACATTAATTGCGCTCTATGTAATTTTATGTCATGTGCTAAAATTATTACAAGCTTTTTATAATTCTCCAAAGCCGCAAGTCTAAATTATTGCTTGCTCGGAAGCCAAGAGGCTATTAAATTTTTAATGACGAAAAGTAGCTAAGTGGCGCAGCACGACTCAACTATTTTCAAACACAACACCTTAAATATTAAGCACACTTGATGGATTTCGTCTATTCGACTAAATTTATCTGTGTCGATGGATTTTAGTGTAGTAAGGTTGAATAAACTAGATGTAGGAAAGGTAAAATGTGTCTATAGAAGCTAACCTCTAAGTGCTTGCAAAATTTTCAAGTGTAAATAAATAATTGCGAAAAAATTAATGGGCTGATTCCTCCTTGAAAATTTAGATTCAGTAGGGTGAGTCGGGTGAATCGCACCAGACTCCAGAAATGGATTCTAGTGACTCTACATGTCAAAATAATAAGAAGAACACAAATGTTGTTATGCGATTTTCATTTGTTTTCAAGTTTAAAAATTTGAAATCAGAGTGTGCCATGTTCCAAGGTCAAAAATAGGAGATTTATCAGTGTCATTTTATATTGCAATAGTTTAACATTTGATTACTTGTTTGTAGGATCAAAGTGTTGCAAAACGTCAAGAACTTATTCAAATTTAGAATATGCAAATATGGTGTTTGTTTATGGGGTTTGGTAATGGGAATGCTAATACTGCCGTTGAGGATTATCAACGATTTTCACATCACGTATGTCCTGATAGAAATGTATTTATCAGGGTTTTCAACAAACTGTGCGAAACCGCAAAGTTTCCCAGTGCTAGTATAATATCTGAATAAATTCTAAAGCTAGTATGACCTCAAACAACGCTGCGTATTAGTCGCAGCGCATGCACGATTGACAATTGGGCTATGCATTGTTACCAAATCTCATAATTTAAAGAAAATATTATTAAACAGCAAATATCACATTCCCCACCGTGAGGTACTGTACCTTGGAATAATCCATCTGATATCGTCTTCTTGCAGAGAATCGTTTTCTCCGGACAGAAAGTAGACTCTTATCATATCAGCTCTTTTTCATAATATCACTTATAAACTTGAAAAAGAAAACACAATGCACTGTACCGTCACTAAATACTGAAATAAATAACTTTATAAGGTTATACACTTACACCACACAAAGGTACTATACGAACAGCTTTTCACAAAACGATATGAGCTTCGTTAGACAAGAGAATTGGTTCAGAACCGGACGGAGATCGCACAGAACGAAATTCGCATTCCAACAGATATAGAACTGAGTAGTACTTACAGCGTTCCAACAATGATCGAACTAGTTCTGAATCAGTTCAGAAATGTGGAATTGGTACCTGGCCTGAGCAGGGAATAGAAGATCTTTTCTTGGAGCATGAGCATTGAATACACAAAATCATAGAGTTATTATAGATACTTATAGCCTCTATATTTTGTGTTTATAATCTATTTTAGTATGAGCGATTTAGATGATGATTTTCTGGCTTCCGAGTCGAACGAGGAAGAGGATATTCTTTAGACATTCAATTAACTTGACAGACGACAGGCATGTGATATATCAAAACACTTGCAACATAGGCATGTAAACAGAACAGCGGAGACTATTCTCCGTTGCCTTCATTTCGGTTTTTTAAAACGGCAAATATAATTATTTTAAAACACAAATTAGTTTTATTTAAAATTAGCAACGTATTGGTTAACAACTACCAAATCTTTTTAAAAAATTTTTAGAAATAGATTTTTTTTACAATTCGGCTCTTCTACAACAATGATATCAAAAAAATATGAAAACTTTAAAATAACAAGTCCGTAAATTATACCAAAACAATCTGATTTGTTAAATTATTTTTTAACTTCGCACAGCAGTGAGGAATACAACTTCATACGTAAATTCCGGGAGCGCTGATTTACTCATTTACTCCATTCATTGGCGCACTCAAGACTTAAAGCGCAGTTTAAAAAACTAATTATAACTCGAGTATTTGTTTGATTAAAAAAAATCTTTATCAGGGGAAAATTCACTTGAAAGTAATTTTCAGTATAGTTTTCGGTAAACGTATGGTGTGATATGATCCGATAATTATTTAATTGACCCTTTAATTTTGAGGAATCGACGCACAGTACACCACTACTACTTTTTAAAAAATGAATTAGAAGTATGTACTCGTACTACTGGAGAGTGGTCCAATTAGTTGGACTCCAAAATCTCCAGACCTCACAGCACTAGATTAGTGTTTATGGGGCTGGTTCAAACATGAATGAAAAAAGCTAGTGTGACCACTCGGGATGCACTAATTCGACGTATCAATACTAGGGTGGCCCAAAAAAAAAACGAATATTTTTTTTCGTGTCTCTTGTGAAAATATGTTAGTTTATCATGTTTTAAGAGCTCCCTCAAAAAATTAGCTCTAAAAATATTTTTTTAAGGTCGCGCGAGATTTATAAAAATTTCCAAAATCGTCAAAAATTGATTTAAAAAAAAATCTCGTTATTTTATCATTCTCTGGGTTGAAAAAAATCTCGATTCTGAAAATTTCAAATCGATATTTTAATTTCTAAAGGCCACTCATAAATATTTTAACTTTAAAAGTAGTGCACCTAAAATGTTTTCGAGCGACTTCTAAAAATAAATATCAACGTACTAATAATTTTTTTTATTGAATTTGATGAATAAAAGGATAGAAATAAATCACGAGACACTTAAAAAATTTCTCGAAGCAAAATCTATTACCGCACTGTATCAAATATTTATAATTTTTTAATGTTTTTAAAGTGTCTCGTGATTTATTTCTATTCTTTTGTTCATCAAATTCAATACAAAAAAATTATTAGTTCGTTGATATTTATTTTTAGAGGTCGCTTGAAAACATAGGTACACTACTTTGAAAGTTAAAATAATGAAAGAAAGAAATTAAAATATCGATTTGAGATTTTGTTCAACCTAACAAAAGTCTTGGTACTTTTAAGATTTTAAAGTTTATTTATTTTAAATATTTCCTCATATCTATAAAACGACAGTTCTAACAAAAAGTTTGTACTCATTCCAGGAATGAAAAGTTCTACACGTGCTGTGATGAACCGTACCTCGACATAACATTCAACATAACGATGAGGCGAAAGACGCTGTTTTACACAGTCAACCTCATCATACCCTGCATGGGGATCTCCTTCCTCACCGTACTTGTGTTCTACCTACCCTCCGACAGCGGCGAAAAAGTAAGTCCATCATTCTTTATTTCTCGCGCCGTCTTATTTGTGCCTGTACGACGGTGACGGACAATGAATCACTGTCAAACAGGTGTAAAGAACGTATTGTGGGAATTTTTTTTCTGTTTAAAATAGGTAAAAGGATTTCCCTGGGTCAGGGGTGGAAAACTAGATGGGAAGCAATAAAATTGAAAAGCGGGCTTGACGAATTTATAGTTATATAATTTAAAAGAAAAGCCAGTAGTATTTGCGTTGTACTTTTTTTATATAGAATGTATTACGACGAATTTTATATAGAAATATATGAGGAACAAATCTAACTTGAAATCTGAACCTTTGTACGGAAAGATTTCCCTCCTCAATGAAAACCTTGCCGAGTTCCTTATTTTAAGTAGAATACCCCTCATACAATGATAGTATGATACAATGAATCCGGAACCAAGTGACAGACCAAATTATTTTAAGCAATAAATTTTTGAATTATTTTATGAACGTGGGCTTGAGTTTTAAGATACAGGTAGTTGAAGTTAGAAAAAAACATCTTTTGGGTCATTGATTTATCTGATTGGAACAAAAATTCGTTAGGTTACCTTACAAACACGTCATACAGTGGCATATACTGGGTGCTCCACCGGGAACTACGTCGATCGATATCTAGGAAAGTATTGCACAACTAAAATATCTAGAACTGTCCAGCACTTCCGGTTATACCGGAAATCGACATCAACTTTGTTATTTTAAATGGGACACCCTATATATTATTGCATTTTCGTATTCTACGTGAAATTTGAGGGTTACTTTATTAAATATTCCCTATACCTAGGAGTTATAGATTTTGAGATATTAATTTAAAAAAAAATGACAAATGCAAGGGTCCACGGAGACGTTAGTAACTCTTTTCAGGAGCGCGACATCAAGCGGATTTTTGGTACCTATAAAGGGCATAGGTAACACTAAATTATGGTATATACGAACTAATTAAAACATTTAATACTATGTGTTTTATTTTTGCTGTTACATTTTGAAAACTTCAAACAGCTATAACTAGATGGAATACCCTGTATTTGTTTACTCTGTCGTATGCAGATTGAAATTTCTTTTCAAGCCATATAAGCATTGTTAGGGTGGTCGTTACTACTTTTAGAGATATTTGCAATTTTCTATTTTTCGTACAGTTTTTCTCGTATCAGACCTGCTGTCAAATTGGCCATGACCAGAAACACTCCAAAACAATTAAAATAACTTGATATTTGTCAAGTTAGTTGTCAAATTATTGTTATATCTGTAATACTTATGAGGATTATTTTAATTTGTTTGTTATTTATGGAAAAAAGCAGTAGATTCTATACATATTCTTGAAATTACTTTGTCATTTTTTCCATAAATAACAAACAAATTAAAATAATCCTCATTAGTATAATTTAAACGATCCACAGACATTTTTATTTACATATTCGGCAAAAACTTGTCAGAGACAACAATAATAATTTGACAACTAACTTGACACATGCCATGTATTTCAATTGTTTTTGGAGTGTTTCTTGTCATGGCCAATTTGACAACAGGTTTGATACAAGAAAAACTGTCCCAAAAATTGAAAATTACAAATATCTTGCAACCTTAATGATTATATGGCTTGAAAGGAAATTTCAATCTGCATACGACAGAGTTAAAAAAATATAGGGTGTTCCATTTAAGTTAACAAAGTTATAGCTGTTTGAAGTTATCAAAATGTAACAGCAAAAATGAAACACCTAGTATTAAATGATTTAATTTGTTAGCATACCATAATTTAGGGTTACTTATTTCCTTTACACGTAACAAAAATCTACTTGACACCGCGCTCTTGAAAAGAGTTACCTAGCATCTTCGCGGACTCTTGCATCTGTCAATTTTTTTTTTTAATTAATATCTCAAAATCTATAACTCCTAGGTATAGGGAATATTTAATAAAGTGACTCTCAAATTTCTCGCAGAATCCGAAAATGCAAAAATATATAAGGTGTCCCATTTAAAATAACGAAGTTGGTGTCGACTTCCGGTATAACAGGAAGTGCTGGAGAGTTTTAGATATTTCAAATATGTTCACCCCAGGGACATTGCCATGTTGCCAAATTTTCAAATTTTTCGTAGCAGTACTTTCCTAGATATCAATCGATGAAGTTTTCGGTGGGACACCCTGTATAGAGAGGAATTAATATATGTAGCTGCCTCGCAACTTCAACACAAAAATATTTACTTCAATATTTCAAAATTCAATTTAGTTATCTAGCAACAGGTAGTTTCAATAAACTCGAGTTTNGGTGTCCCATTTAAAATAACGAAGTTGGTGTCGACTTCCGGTATAACAGGAAGTGCTGGAGAGTTTTAGATATTTCAAATATGTTCACCCCAGGGACATTGCCATGTTGCCAAATTTTCAAATTTTTCGTAGCAGTACTTTCCTAGATATCAATCGATGAAGTTCTCAGTGGGACACCCTGTATAGAGAGGAATTAATATATGTAGCTGCCTCGCAACTTCAACACAAAAATATTTACTTCAATATTTCAAAATTCAATTTAGTTATCTAGCAACAGGTAGTTTCAATAAACTCGAGTTTTGTCAGTATAATAATGACAGATTGAGGCAATATTAAGAAAGTTACAGCAATATTGATCTTTATGAACAATTTTCACCAGAGAATCAGAGAAAATCACAAGTACGGTGGCCTTCCGTATCGTCGTTGACCTTGCAAATTGGCCTAAGCGATAAAAAGAATATCGACCAAAGTCAATTTGATTTAAGCCCCTTAATGATAATAAAATCCCAGCAACTCCAAAAATTAATTTTACACGTCAAAATAATATGAAAAAACTCAACTATTAGTTGGTCCCCAAGATTTTCAGACTGAAAATTTGTTTGTTTTTCTTTGAATTTACTCAAATAGCGGTCTTGGCATTTACGTCATTTTACATTATCAACGACAACATGCGCTTGCTGAACCGATTGACAACGCTTTTTTATTAGCGATTTAAAAAAACATTTTAGGGATTTTTTGATTAAAAATCTGATTACTAATCTTAGCGCGGCGCTTAGTTTGACAGGATCGTAGTCATATTACTACTGAAAATATTAATATGTTTACAGAAAATATGTCGCAACTGCCAAAGAGCAAGGTTAAGTAGAGGATAAAATACCTATATAAATTTAAATGACACCTTTTACCTTATAAACCTTAGTGTTGAGACAAGGCTTCTATGGCATATTGAAAGGAGTTAAAACATATTACTACGTGCTTTTCTAAGTTTTCTTTAGTGAAACGGTGACGTTTATCACTTAATATTAACTTGTGTAGGGAAAACTACCGTTCAACGTCTACTGTTGACAACGGACAGTACGAGAAATTGTTGAAACATGAACTATATATTAATATATGTGCTGGTAACTCCTAATTTGTACCAGATAAAACTTTACACAGGTTTCCCAAAATGGTGTATCCTGCATTTTTTCCAACACTCTTTGCATTTTTTATTTTATCGTACTATTGACTGGGCGTACATTATTGGCATCGTATATATTATTTTGTACATCATCCATTATATTAAATTGTTCATTTAGGGATAGTCCATGTGATACCAATTTACGGAATTACGGAACTTAGGGTTTTCTAGTTTGTTTAATGGAATATTGCTTGTAAGAAAGGCTTCTGCAAGTTCATAGAAAAATACAGTCTTCAGCTGTGGACGAGGCTTGGCTCTTCAACTGTCTTGTCACTTTAGTTTTGTAACAAGAATTTATAATGCGTTCACACATAGTACAAAACAGGTCATTTCCTTTAATACGTATGTCCCTGTAATCCTCGGGATCACTGTCAAACCACATTTGAAATAATTCCCGTCTAGTTTTTTTCCCCTTTTGGCATTTTACTTCAATTTTCCCCACAACTAATAGTAGTTAATGTAAATTATGTTACTATTTATAAATAATTATTTAAATACACAGAGCGAATACAATTTAAAGTAGATATAAAAAAGGTATCGACGCGACACCAACTACTACAAGGTTCCGTAAATAACTGTACAGTTCAAAACGCGAGTCAGCTGTGAAGGCCGCCGACTCCCGAGCCGGCTCTGTTAAACTCTAAGCCTCCTGATTACGTACCACAATCAGCATCACTCAAAATTTTAACTAACTAGTAGATATTTCAATAGTTTAGGTAAAAATTTTGTGTCTAGTCTACAAAAAAGGTGACAGTTACTTCCTGTGCAACCGTAAAAAAGTAAATATTGATATTGAGGATAACATTTTGAGGAGGAACCCGTGAACACAAACTTTAAATCACAATTTAGATTCTTTGCCCGTGTACTTCTAACAAATGGTTTTCTAGACACATATCCTGTGAATTTTTAGAGCATTCAAATACGAAATTTTATTTTTTTTACTGTAACATAACATAACTAAAAAAATATTAATAATAATTATTATAAAATCTTAAAATACCTTAATATTCACTCTTTGCCATATTAACTTTCATTAGCAAAAATTTTGATATGTAAAGGGGCACCTGAAAAAAGATTAATTTCAATCAATTCAAGGCTCGTAAGAGGAAATTTTAAAACTGACCCAAACTTAATGGAAATTTTATGGGAGAACGTTTTAATAACTTATCCATTTATTTGGATGAACCTTACTTAGGGAGTCGCATACAGAATTCAATATGACCACAAAATTCAGGGGCGTGATAATTTATTCTCTTTGTGCTGAACGGAACGTATAAATGCATATTCATTAATCATCTAATGAACACATACGCAGAGAGATCAATATTATTACCAACTCTCTTCTGGTTGTTACTCTGGCTCTAAAAAAAAATTAATAAACAACACTCCACCAAAAGGATCGGTCACCGAAATCTAATCCAATTTTAATTTAAACTGGTGTGTTTGAACGTGGTTCTCGTTGTCAAATAGGTATTATCCGTTTGGTTTACCTACAGTTGCGTTATAATGTAAAATGCCTGGAAAAAATTTAAATTATCAAAATCATGAGAATTGTTTGGATTTAATAACGTATAGCTAATTAATTACCACCAATTCGGCGATAAAATTTAAAAGTATAGTATGAAATCACTAAAAGTATGAGGTATTTTCTTTCCAAGGATTTTTTTAGTTGCTTACATATACTGTTTTAAAATCGTTTATTATAAAAGATATCCGTATTATTTTATAAAGCTAGTAGCTGTATTTGAAAATTACAAAAATCTAAAACAGATGGTCTCTTGAATAAAAACAAAATTGTTTAGAAATATTGGATTGAACAGTGACGCAGAAATCCTGTCGCTTTTAATGATAGTGTCGCCTGTATTTACATTTCAGTATATTTCAGTATTCAGTATTCATATACAGTGTGTCCCCGAACAGGGTACCGCACTCTTGTAAACTTTTTTATTTTTCGAGAAAAAGTGATTCTTGATAAAAAATTTTGCTAATCTTGGGAAGCTATGGGCAGTAATCAAATATGTAATAAAACATACGAAGCATGCAAAAAATTTCAAAATGTGAAATTTTTCCTAAGCAAAGTGCCTTTAATTTTTATTTTCATTCAAAACTGTATTTAACAAAGTTGTTCGAGAACTCAATAAATGGTTAGGTAAATACGAAGAGAATAATCACATTTTGCAAATAAAAAAACACCGCAATTTTTAACCATCTCACATATTTCTTTATCAATGTCAAAGTCAACATAGTTATCGAATAATTTTTATTAATAATGCTGAATCGGTAATGTTTCATATCGATATGCAATACAAATTAATGAAAAGTATACAAATGTAGCTGTAATTCGATACCATTACTGATGTAAAGAATATTAAAGAAAAAAAAAAAGGATACAACTATAACGATGCTGCTACTGTTGTATTATGGACCCTGATGTACAAGACAATCCAAAGATGTTACTCAGGAAATGGTCAGAAAACATAAACAGGGTGTCCGCGTTTTTTTTAGCAGGACTTTCACAACTTGTACTAAAAGTCCTTTAAAAAAAAAGTGCATGTAAACATGTATAGATGCGTCGTTTTCGATTTACAGAGTGTTCAAGTTTAAAATGAGAATTGATTTTTTATTCGTAAAACGAAAACCCCTTTTTTAGACTAAATAAATTGTTTTTCCATACCGTGTTGTTTATTTTTTTCATTATCTTACAATAAACTGTGTGAAACAAAAAGTTTTATTTCTGTCTGTCAAAGCGAGATAGGAAAAAATGTAAATAACAAAAAAGTTGTATTTTTGATAGCTAAATCTGAGAAAAATTTCAAACTTACCAAAAAGCAGTGGCGTACCATTTTTTTTATACATATTTTTATCAAGCTTTTATCTTATTGTGACGCCACTGGAGAAAATAGTACAAATTAAATTATGTGAGAAAATGAGTATTATTATTACAAACAAAGTTGCCAAGTTTCAACAAAGTCTAAAAAGGAGTTTTCGTTTTACGAATAAAAAATCAATTCTCATTTTAAACTTGAACACTGTAAATCGAAAACGACGCATCTATACATATATGTTTACAAGAACTTTTTTTTAAAGGCCTTTTAGTACAAGTTGTGAAAGTCCTGCTACAAAAAACGCGGACACCCTGTATATTAGCAGATCTCATATTCAAAGAATTTTAGTATACAACAAAATCTGTCCATTCAAATCAATGTTTATTCATAAATTGCTTGATGGAAATGATGGTCGCCGTTTGGACTATTGTTTAACAATGGGCGAGAAACTGATTGAAAACAGATTCGTTCATCACAATATTTTATTTACTCAACTTAATCAACATTCACAATTGATGGCGTGGTTTTCTCTCAAAATTGTAGATATGTAGGTACTGGGCTAAATATAATCCAAATTTTCAATTGATACTAATAATCAGAAAAAAGTAAATGTCTGGTGTGGCACAATGTATCATAAAGTAATGGTCTTACTTTATGGAAGAACATTTGGAGCAATACTTTGGCCTGCACTGGCATCCGACTTATCCCCATTAGATTATTTATTTGGGAATTACATTTTGAAACTATTTGGACACCCTGTATGTTTTATTTTATATAACAGCCCATGGCTTCCCAAGTTAAGCAAAACTTTTTATCAAGATTAACTTTTTTTTTTCCAAAAATCAACAATAAAAGAGTGTGGTATCCCATCCGGGGACACACTGTATATGATTTTACTTTTCTTTTGACTGAAATCCCAGATACTCAATATTTCATATGAATATCACTAGCTTTTATTTAATAACTATTATTATTTAGTTGTTAATGATTAATATGATTGTGCACCCATCTCGTTTTGTTACATTTGTTTTCTGTGGGTAAAAGACACTTATTGAGTATGTATCGTAATTTATATTATTATTTATTCCTGTTTCTGTGCTTTAGATACATAGTACTTGTTCTTCTGAAAATTCTAATAAAATATTCTCGATTTTTTAGAGAATCCAACAGTACAAAACGGGGATTAAACTGAACAATAATGATTTGACAAAAATATCCTGGTTGCATCACTGTTATTATTGTTTCAGGTGAGTTTATCCATTTCGATATTGCTGTCACTTACCGTGTTCTTCCTCTTGCTGGCCGAGATAATCCCGCCCACTTCGCTTGTGGTGCCTTTGCTCGGTAAATTCGTATTGTTTACAATGATTTTAGATACGTTTAGGTAAGTATATTCATGCCATACTCATAAGGTCTATTGTTTTAGGAAAATCGTTGTAATCATTCATAACATTCACGTTTAACCCACAGGAACATCTAGTACACTAGTTAAAATAATACGTTTTGTGGGAAGCGGATTTCTGTCAAAATACGGGGTGTCCAGGAAATGGTGGACAGTCTCCCAGAACGTAGATTCGGAAAGATTAAATCGCTAGTTTGTTTTTTTTTGTATTTGATATAAAAAGTTGAAAATCGGTTACTTTTTTTATAGTTCATTAAATTTGGATAAATTTTGTGTAAAACCAATGGTATTTTATTCCAATGTAAGGCTCTTACAGCATATGCTAATATTTACAATACTATGGCTTTTCGGCTATGTCATGGCCTGTGTATATTACAGAATTACCTTTCACTTCCTTAGCCTTAGCTAGGAATCTTGAACCTGCCCTTGTTGTTCTTGGGCTAGGCTCTATGAGGGCGGGCCACAGTGACCTCTACAACTAGTCACATCCAATGCTTCCAAACGTTTCACCGTTTCTCACTACAGGCGTCTTTAATGGTGACTTTGCAAATACTTAGGACATAATAATAGGACGTAATACTACTGGACATAGGTACTTTATATAGGTACAGCCCTTATTACCTTTGATCAGATAAAAAATTACGTGGTGTTGTATATACAGAGTGTCGCAGAAAAGTGTACTGATAATTAAAACTTTCATCGGAATTGAATTCGATTTTAAACTTAGACTTTACCTTTAAGTCGGCGTTCACAAATTTTTATTGCATTGTATTGTATTTTCATTGGCATTTTTACTGGTTATAATTTAATTTAATATTTACAGAGTACGTCAGTTTTAATTATGTGAGAATATAAATCCCGAGGATTAATATAATTATCTCAGAACTCATAAATCGCGTCTGTCATAAATTTAAAATTTGTGGGCGTCCCGGCGCCCCGGAATGATGTGAATAAAAACGAAGAGGTTAATACAAAATCCTACTCGACATCCTGTCTCTATAATAAAGTCAGAGGCGTTCACAAAAACTGAGGTACTGGACGTACAATTTTAAAAAACAATAAAATATATACATTTAAAAAAAGCTAGCAATTTTCATATTATCGTAAAAGATAGACGCAATTTAGCTTGTTATTAAATTTTAGTGTCAAACTAAAAAATGAGACAGAAAATGTAATTTTGATCAAAAAGTTTCCTATGATCGTGTGTCCCAAATTAGTTGTAGAATTTTTTAATATCATATTTTAGGACTATTGAAGTTTCTAAGCTAATGGAAAATTACATATCTAGAAAAGAATAAATTGCAGCGTCATACTCCTATCAGTTATTTTATTTTATTTTAATTAGTACATATAACGGCTTAAAAAAGCTTTCAAGCAATCAACGGCACATTTTTTTTTCAGAATTTGAATCATCCAAATACCTTATCCTGATCGATATTTTCATAAGTACTTTTTAAGATGAGTTTTCAGAAAAGTTTACTATTTTACCGAAAACGCCTCCAACTTTTTAAGATATAAGAAGAAAAATATCGAATTATGTCATAATTAATCTAGAAACCTGTTCTAGTTTCATTAGGATTTGGTCAACCATTTAGAAATTAATTAAAAAATATTTATATCCATATATCACCCTGTAATTATTTTCTAAGCGTTTTGGAAACTATGTTCATAAAAAATGTTTTGCTTAATAGTAATAATACTTTGCAACAACATATGAAAATACCATTTAACAAACGAAAAAATATGTCTCCCCGAGTGCGAAATTGTTTTTTTTACTGCTTTTACAATTTCATTTTCAATTTAATTATTTTCAAAATTCTTATTTCTTATTTAGAAAATATTTGTTAGGCAAAATAGGTATAGATAATTTTATTCAAGTTTTGTTCAATATTTACAACAAGTGTTCTACTGAAACTAAATTAATTGTAAAAGTTCATTTAGTTAGTTTAGTCATTTAATTAAGAAAAATAATAAATTTATCATTTCCGTCTCTATAGGGCAATACTTTTACCTTAAGAGAAAATTATCCTTACTAAGTCATACCAAGTCTGTTCAGAAAATAACTGAACTTAATTTTTTTAAACTTTATTATTTATTTTATACATTATTGATCCTTGTCTATTTCAAAGAACTCTCCTCTCCTATTCACACACTTTTCTCAACGGTGTTTCCATTTCGCAAAATAGTCCTGGATAGCTTCATTTGAAATGCTAAAATCTGTGACGAATTTGTTTTGATGTCATCAATAGTATGAAAAGGTCGTCCTTTCGGCACTGATTTCGAAAATAAGAAAAATACACAAGGCGCCAGGTCTGGAGAGTAAGGAGGGTGAGGGAGGACAGTAATCCGATTTATGGCACAAAACTGACGAATTGACAAAGCTGAGTGTGCGGGCGCACTGTCATGGTGCAAGTACCGTTGTTTTGCCACATCTCTGGTCTCTTTTTGCGAATTTTTTCACGTACCTAACCGTTGTAAAACGCCTTGATAGTACACATGGTTCACTGTTTCACCTTGAGACAAGAATTCAAAATGCACAATTCCATTAAAGTCGAAAAAACAGTGACATTGGGTCGAGACTCACTTGCTTTCTTAGGACGTGGAGATCCTATGTCAATCCATTGTGATGATTGAACTTTTGTCTCAATGACGTAGCCGCAAACCCAGCTTTCTTCTCCTGTTACGACTCATTGAACAATCCAAGAAGATGTGGTTACAGTGGAGGTTATGCCCAACGCAATGCTACCAACCGCATTTCACTAAATATCACCATTAGCGCGTGTTTTAAAAGGGTTCGGTTATTTTCTGAATAAACCTCGTATACCTGTTTATGAAAAAATAATATTTCCTGTCTGTTTTAATTGTTTGACAAGTTTTGGAAACACCCTGTATATCTAAAATATTGAATAAATCCGCAAGCATCTACGACTTACTAATTAAATTATTCTTCACTTCAGAAATTTTCCTGAAACAAATACACACAAGAAAATTGTATCAAATACCGTCTTATATTGTGAATTTACTAAAATGAATGAGTTCATCTTGATATCTGAAAATATAACAGTATTACTCTGACAACAGTATAAAAATATGGAAGCGAAAATAATTACTTGTGCAGGAGTTATTTTCGTGTCTTTTGTTTCGCCGACAAGATGCAGCGAGAGCTTTTTAAAATAATGAATTCCCTTTCCAAGCTGAAATAAAATAAACGTGTTCATCTTATTTTTATTACAAGTGAAAACAGAAGAAAATATTTCTAGGAGTGATTCGTTATATAAATCCTTACTAAAATAATTGTATAGAAAGTACGTTTTTAACACAAATATTATTTGAAAGCATTAACATATTTCTACAATATTTCGTAGTACCTAATATTAAGGCAATTCTTACGTTGTAAACTGAACTACAATAATAATTATTTGTTGTTGTAGTATATGCGTTACCGTAGTGGTATTAAATGTCCACTTTCGTTCTCCTCAAACTCATGTGATGGCACCATGGGTGCGACGTGTTTTTATCCACATTCTTCCAAGGCTTCTAGTCATGAGGCGGCCTCATTATCAGTTAGATAGGAGAAGGTAAGTGAATGTTAGAAAATTTAGTGTTAACCACAGAATTATCCAAATTTACAAATAGACATTCATTATCATTTATAATAAAAAGTCTTTCAAGGGTACATACATAAATTTGTCTTAGTTTTGTTGATATTTTTGTGAAAACTTCCAGTCTTCCCAAAACTACAGTCTAGATAAAGCGGACATCGCACTGGTCTGTGATGATATTGCAAGACTAACATTGGAATACATCTGCGATATCATTAAATGCAAATAAAATCATTCGTCGGTCGAATACACCGGACACATACCGGTTTTGGACTTGTTATTCCTCACCAGTATGTTAGAGGTGCGACAATTGATGAATGAACCAGCAGTCTTGATTTCTGAAATCCAGGAGAGGAGTAAGTACAAGAAAAAGATTAAATTGAGATGTAAAACATGTAATTGATGTAATTGAGTACATCTAGTGGCCACTGCTACTAACAATAAGACCACCTAAAAGACCAAAGTGTGAAAGAAAGAGCTTTGTATTGCAAGTACATTGAAAGTACGATCAGGTCCCTATGAAGACGAAGACAAAGATTTAAATGATTATATTGCAAGATAGCTATTGCAATATACTGACTAGCATTGAATTATACCAGCAATATCGTAAAATCTATTTCTTTCTATATTGGTTGTTTCATTGTCGTATATCGCATAATTTTCATAAAAAAGAAACCCATATAGGAATTACCAATCTTTATAATTCCTTCCGTTATTCGAATATGGAGACAAAAAAAATCGTATGGAGTTAAGGATGACCCTTGGTGACCTTGAATTCATGGCAAGTTTATAAGCCTACAAGATATATCTAAATTGTAGACCAAATTTGGTGTTCCTAAGTTAAAGCGTTGCAGATCTAACAATTTTTATAGCTCCGCCTGGGCACCCCTATATGCTCTTGACCTGCATCAGTTATTATTGAGAGGCCCTGTATATCTACATGACTACTGAATGTTAAAAATTTAATATTACTCAGACACCAAAAATATTATCGAAGTGATACTTTTAAATGAGTAGGGTCAGGGTGAAATAAATGTTGATTGATACGTCTACCGCTCTGAAATTATAGGGCCAAGCACGTTTTTCAAATTGCCATTAATTACGGAAATATTCGACGTGGACATTTTTCATCGGAGTTGCATGAATAGTGACAGAAATTGATGCTAAAGGAGGGGTCAAATATGAGGTCAAATGGCAATCAGAAGTAAATCAGAAGTTATTATAATAATTGGATTAAGAGCGATGCGGGTGTCTTTCTGCAAACTGAATTTATAGCATTTTAATCACATAACAATGATGGAGTACCAACGAAGTATATTTGATTTACAAAATCGACAAATTAAATAGGGGTGAACTGTAAATACGAGGAAAATTCAAATTCAAATCATAATTTGTCGACTGATAACAAATTAACAGTAAATTACAGATTGCCGGTTTTCCTGCTTCTATATTATTCGAGCAGAAATTCTTGCGGTTATCAATACACCCATATCCGTAATATATTTCATAACGTCTTCAGTGAAACAAATGAATATGTGAAAGGCAGATGGGAGAAAACAGTTTCTGTAATGTTTGAATTGCAGCCAAGAGAGTAGCAACATTCAAACATGAATTGGCCTTAAACCAACAGAGACGTTTTTTAAGTCAGGAGTCTAACGATGAAATGCAGTACAAGTGAATATCGACACTTTTCAGATTTTCTTACATTGTTCGGAAAGTGTTTCGGTTTTCGAATATAAATAAATAAATAAATAAATAAATAAATAAATAAATAAATAAATAGATAAATTAGTGAACATTTCTAAATTTGAAACAGAGATTTTCTATATGGACAAGACGATGTTTTTCTGTAACTTCTAACTTCTGGTTTTACATTTGTAACCCAAACTTGTATTTATTTAAGCAAAAGGATATAAAGCCTATATATTTTTTAAATCTTCGAAAAATTTCCTTTCAAGCGATTATTGTACAACATAGGTTTTAAAATAATGTGTTTTGAAGGAAGATTGTGATTTTTTTTTATAATTCATTTCGAACATTTTATGGTGCATTTCATTGTGCAGACCTTTCTTCATAGATACACGAGATATATTCATGACATACTCAATTTTATAAACAAATAGGTCAAATTAAAAAAATAACTTTGTGTCTTCCATCTTCATATTTTTGCGTAAATGTATTGTCTATTATTTCAGATGAAAATTTTATGCAATTTTTAAAAATCGATGGATGTAGTATGTCCCCGGAGGAAGTTGAAAAGAGACAAAAGTAATTTTCTTTTTTGATAAATTACTGAATTACAAAATTAGAACAGAATGCCAACAAATTTGAGACATTAACATACATTTTAATTTTAAATAACTTCTAACATAATTTTTATCGATATCTCCCATAAAAAACAATTTTTCTTAATGAAATTTTTAAATTTTTTAATATATGAAGAAGGCTTTATACCTCTACAGATTTTTTTTGTTGTCGCCAACTTTTCATGAATAAATAATGGATTACTTATTTATGAGTTTCTTGATTAGCATACTATATTATTGAGGATTGCAAGGATAAAGTCAACTTCTATCGACCCATTTAAAACTAAAAATGTAGTTTTAAATATCTTGGTATATACAAAGTGCCGCCTTTTACGAAATGCTTAGATATTCAGAGTGTTTCTGAAATAAGTGAGTTCCTTGAAAAGGGAGATAAAGGGCACGAAAATAAGCAATTTTTATTAAGCAATTGATGGTCTAAATGCTTCTGTTTTCGAAAAAATTAATTAAGAAAATTAACCATAAAAAATGTAAGCCAACCTTGAACATCTTGTGCACGTGCACGGCCAGATTGCTTTGTACTCGCTACATGCGTGAAGCGCTTCTCTAATTGGCTGACGTTCCATGTGACTTCCACAATCAAACAAATCTGATGGTAGGTCACTAAGTCTTGTGTCTTTTAGTTATGCATTGCAGTATTACTTAGCCAGCGTATAAAGTGTTCAATGATCAATGTTCAATGATCAGTGTTCAACGATCAATGTTCAAGGATCAAGGATCAATGTTCAGTGCTCAATGATCAATGTTCAATGATCAAAAATCAAGAATGTTCAATGATCAAGAACTAGCAGATGTGGTGTTATCTAATGTACGGAGAATGTCAATACAATTTAAAAGAGACTTGTCGTTTGTATGAAGTCCGTTACCGTAACAGAGTAGAACAGTGCAAAAGGCAGTTCAAAGGTTGTGAGATTTCGGGAATGTTCACCTGACATATCAAGGCCTTGCACGTGAAAGGCCGCATCATGTTTTCGACAACGAAGAAAACATCATAAACATCGCTGAGGAAAATCCGAGGCGCAATACTCCCCACATTGGCCAAGAAGTGGGTATATCTAACAGTACCGAGTGGCGTGTACTACGGGGACAATTATTATCAGAGCATATCGACTATTGGTAAGTAATTCGTTTATTCGTCTAATTGTTGTGTTACTTTTAAACGAGATTTGAATAAATTTCAGTATTTTCGAATACAAAGTTTAAACCATCAAAATCGTCATCAGCACTTTGGGACAGAAACGGCTTTAAATTTGTTTAAACCTTCATGTGAAATTTTTTTTATCAATTTAAAACATAATATTTTACACCATCAGTTGCTTAATAAAAGTCGCTCATTTTCGTGTCCTCTATCACCATTTTCAAGGAACGTATTTATTTCAGAAACACCCTGTATAAGAGTTAACTTTATCCTTGCAACTCAATAATATAGGATGCTAATTGAACAGAAGCAACAGGAATAATAAATTAAAAAATAAAAAAGTTGTCCCTTTTTCAACTCCATCCGAAGGCACATTGTATAGGGAATCCTATTTAAAAAACTGAAAAACCACAAGTTAAAAAAATTTCTTTAACTTGTGCACAATTGTGCACCCTATCGAAGTACGGAAAGAACTAAATAAAGAAACATCTATAGAAAAATAATGAAACAAAAACTATAATCGGAAACACAAAAGATGAACGACCAAAAATGAAAAATGCACCTTATTTAAAAAAACGTTAATCGAATGAAGATATCGAGATGCGATATCGATTGTTCTGTTCAGTTTTCTTCGAAAATCGAGTTCCAAACATCTTAAAGTCCCTAAAAGCAATTGAAATTGTTCCACCTAAATTAGTATTTGTTCGCATGCATCAAGTAGTGTATAAAAAAACCGGCTTTATTTAGTTTCTTTTGGTGCGCAATTCAATTAAGAACAACAAATAAAAATCGACCCCAATTTTATCACGATATCCATAAGAAAATCGCATGTTAAATCAAACAGTTCCTTTAAATATCTCACTAAAAATTGTGATAAATACTAAGTATCATGTGAAGGTAGTATTGAAGTTGTACACCTAGCATTTAATAATTAATAAGTTTGCTAATTGTTTCCAGTATGACTTCGAGCCACAGAGTTATGGTGAGGACCTGTAACGGTCTAGAGTTAAGGGACGCCGGACTCTATTCGGATTCCGGAGATTTAGGGGAGGACCCTTCCGGCCTTTTTCCAAGTGCCAGTTCAAGAGACGAACTAACACCAAGGTAAATAGCACTTAAATGTAACGACGGCTTGTCCACTGCTTTGTCGCTCCTCAGACTGTATGTACAGTACTCTGGGTGGTAGTTTGTATAATGACTTGCTTCCATATTTGCCCAAGTTTATATGAATTAGAGAACGTGAGTTGATCCTTTCGTAAAAGAAAATCATTAGCACTTCACAACAGAACGTTATCGTTTAAATTTCGGAAAATTAGATAGAGTGAGAAATAGGATAATAATGAAAGGTGTACTTTAAATATTCGCAATTTAGGGGTCAGACTATTATTGTGGCTTATTTGGTCAGTCATCATGGAACGATTTATTATACTGAATCATTAATTATTGAAACTGAAATAGGAAGACTCTTTATAAATCTATATTCTAATTATTAATTTTTTTTATTAAAATTAGTTCGTGTACAGGGTGTCCCAAATTGCATAAGCCAAACGTTACTTTGAGATAGACCTCTACCAAATAAGAAAATGGTTCCAATAAACCCCTGTCAGTAGGTGTGCATGTTGAATTTTTATTAAAATGTTATTTTAGCGTAAATTTAAACAAATGAACATGGGGAGTGGAGGGATACATGAAACTGGGAGAACTAGGAGAAAAAATGTTGCCCATTATTCTTAGTGACACTTTGTCGTTAATGTAAACTCAGAATATTAAACACACACAAAATTACTATTTAACTGTTACCTAAGGGGCGAGTGTAACCTAGCGACTTGGCATTCATGTCATTGATATGAAAAGTCAAACAACGCTAATCGCCTGTATCACTTTCTAGTGGCCTGTATGTCGGTGTATTGACAGAGGCTATACTATACAAAAAGGTTTGTATAGCAAGTCATACGATTCCTCGAAAAAGATGTAAAACCTTTCCTTGTCTAGACAATATTAGACAAGTAAAAGATCCCTACTCTACAACAAAGTGGGGGTTCCAGGTTGGGGGTTGCTCGTCTCCTGGCATAGAAGCAGAAATAGACTGATGTAAAATAACCAAAAAGCAAAAAGCAAACAGATACCTAACAATATTTCAAAAAATTTAGTTTTGTTCATCATTTAAGGGACTAACAAAGTTGAAATCTTTTGTATTAGTCCAGTCACTGAAGGCGAAAATAAGGTAAAAGTTCCAAATTTTCTCGGATAGCATGGATTTTCCTGAAAATTTCAATTCACGTTCAAATATGTTGGATAAAGTTCCTTTCATGTTTTTTAATATAGTTTATGAAATTTAATTACTTTTCAACCCTTAAAAATCCTTAAAAACTACCCTTCCATGGCCAAAAAAATAGAAAAAAAAGTTTTTAACAGTTTAAAATATTCTTTTGGTGCATTTACAATGTATTGCATTTCTTTTGTCACTCATTAGAAAGCTTACGACTCATTACAAAGTTGCAACTCTTAAAAACCATCCCTTATAATAAAATAAACAAAACAATATTATTGAAAGTTTGCGATGTTTTAATGGTATGCATATTGTTAAATTATAAACATTTAGGTTGGCAATAAGCGAGTGTTGGCAACATTTAGTTAGCCAAAGTTACCGCGAAAAGTCGACTGATTTGAATTTATGAAAGCACTGCATTGCATGTAGCGCATGCACTTTATCTAATTAATACTGGCAATTCGAGGTCTCGGCCAATTTCCGAATGTACACATACATATATATGTGAATTCGGATACGTGTGTGTATGTATATTATTAAAATACTTACTCAAATCAGTTCACAAGTGCTCCAAAATACACAAAGATGATGGTAATTTACCCGCTCCGAAAATTTTACCGAAAAAATGTGATTAATTTTTTTACCATAACTTTTGTAATTTTAAAGTTATAAATTTACCCAAAAAACCATTTTGTAGGGAATTTAAAGCACTTTAAGTTCTGTGATTTCCTGTTTTTTTGAGCTCTTCGTTTTTTAGATTTGTAAGCTAAAAGGGCTCAGGAAAGGCAGTCTTGGAGCTTAGTTTTGAGCTTCTAACGGTCATAACTCAGTCAAATTTGTCCTACCAAAATTAAAAAAAAGCAAATTGTTCAGTAAGAAAAAACCTACAATTTCTTATTCTATCATTTTTTTTATAACTTTGTTAGTTTTTGAAATATTTTAAAAAAAGATGATTTTTTAAAAAATTGAAAAATTTTATTCAAAAGTAAATGCAATATTTTTTTAAATTTAGACTTCTAAAATCGTTCAAATTCCAAGAATCTACTGTTAATAGATAAATAAAGTAAATTGCAGAAGGACTACGTTTAATTTTTTTCCGTCAAGTCATTAATTTTAATACCGATTTGTTTTTCTCAAGATCAAGACAATCATTTTATTTTGATTGTAACTTCATTAGTTTTCATGCTAACGACTTTTACTACCACTCAATTTAAAGATCTTTTCAAGAACTTTAATAATTGTTATATAAGTTTTCCTAGAAAAACCTTTAATTTTTCGGCTACAGGACGTTAAACGTTTCGATTATAGCTATCTTCGAAATTGACTTCAACTCGGGTTCTATACCACCTACAAAAATAAAAAAAGCAATCTCTGCTATTTAATTACCTTCATTTTTGCTTATGATCATTTTTTTTTGATAAAACTTGTAGTTTTTGAGATATTCACGAAAAATGGCTCAAAAACATGCATTTTTTGGGCTAAAAACGAACATGTTTAGGCGCAAATAACACAAGTATTGATTTTACAAAAAATTCTTATAGGACATTTTTTGCTAAGAATTCGCCCCTTTATCGAATCGTGAGGTTATTTTTAATAAAAAAAATCCACCCTCCAGAAAGGGTAAAAGCAAACATCGGCACTATATAACTTTTGTTTCTTGGGGCTATTCCCTAGTTACAGTTCAAATTTCACGTCAATCCACTCCACCCGAAAAAAATGGTAGCCAAAATGCTTCAGTGGCTGGACTATATTCGAAAATGGGAAACATTGAATAAAAAGTGCGAGACGTTTTTATCTGTAAACAGTCTAAATTTTAAATTTCTACTCATAAACAACTAATAAATGACATACTAAGAAACATGGTACAAAATTTTACCTTTTCCTATCAGTTTCATTTCTCCTTCAATGATTCTTCTTATTGTCATTTTGTCTTAAGTATAAATAGTAAAAGGCAGAATACCAAAGCTTTTTTGGCTCAACTTTGCGAGAATATGTTTCCTTATTTTGAGGAGTTCTAACCAGGTAAAGTTCTAATCAAATAAAGTTTAGTTTATGCAATGCAATGCACCCCATATTTTAGATAAAAGGATAAATGCACTAGAAAAAAGAAAATGAACATAAAACAAAATTCGTGTTTACGGATATATCGAGCAGAGGGAAACATCGATGGCCACAGTGACCAATTTAATATTGTATGATTCATGTAACCAAAGGTACTCTGAGCAAATTATCTAGTTATCGGTGATGTAACCCTTTACAGTATACAAATCTAACCCATGTCTACTTTGATTACATTTTCTATTATTCGTTTATTTCATGGATAATTTTGGAATCTCTTGTTTGGTTATATTTATTTTCTTACTGCGTTTTCTGTGTTACCTACTAGCAACTCGAGCTATGGTAACTTTAGGTAACATTAATTAGAGTCATTTTTCTCAAAAAAGCTCGTGAGAGATCTCTTAGGAAATTCGTAAAGGAAAGATTAAAAAAAATCCATTTTGGACAATTTTTATAGGCTTTGGGCGACTACTAACTGCAATAGGCCCCAGTGTGCGTTGGTTGTCAAATAGCAGGATCATCCATTCCCGAAATATAAAAGGCAATCCTCGTATTTTAATACTTAAAGGAAGAACACATTTTCACTTTGCCTAAACTGCTGCCGTTCTGCGTCAATTTCTATTCGATAATAGATATAATTATCCTAATTCTCATAAATTTTTATAGCAATTCGAATGCCACTGTTTTTTAAAGATCATATTTATTTTACATTTTTCTTTGCCTCCATTGCCATCATTTAGATACCAAAAAAGAAAAAAATAAATGTTTGTTACACTCTATCGGAGATCATACTGCCCCTGCTTATGACAAGGAAAATATAATGAAGGGAGAGACGACGCTGAAAGGATGACTGACGTTCAGCTATGAATTCAGATTTTATTCGCGAGTTTAAAGTGTAATGAAAAACGTTATGAATGGAAGAAATTCAACCCAGTTTATTATGGTCGGTTGTTTAGTACTTGTTTCTCTTGATATGCATCTCTAGTGTAAGAGTATTAAATATCTGTCTTTGTCAAGTTACATATTAAAATATGTAGGTACTTTATATCACATTTATAAACCTATAAAAACAAGTAGTCAATTGAAAGACTACGAGTATAACTGCTCTTATAGCATCTTCTATATTTAAAAAAATAAGCACGTGTTCAAATTCAGCTACTCCAAATCCACGTTCATGTCAAATTTTATTGAAATATTTCAAAAAGGTAACAGAATTATATTGAAAAAATTAAGCAAAATTATACTAAGGTGACTTGATAGTGATCTAAATCGGTTTATTTTACTTTTAAAGTATTACTGATTTCTTTCTGTACACTCTGTATTTTAAAATGTAATCATAACAAATTTAAAATTTGCAATTTATAGTTTCCAAATATGCCCACTCTTAGGGTAAAAAGGGCATGCTAATGGCCCAAACCCGTATTAATCGGGACACGGTGTGTATGTAGAGCTATCTTATTTTCCACGTCCGCAAAGAAACGCACGTAGGTATTCTTTTCATCGAACCTGTCAACCTGTCAACGAAGGTGGCTTCAGAAGGTACATGTTAATATTAGTGCACAGGGAGTAACAATATCCCCTTACCTAGATTTTCCTGTCGCTTGAAATCGAACCACTTCCGTTTCTAAAAGCGTATACTAATGCACCATTACCCAGGGGGCTCTCGTGGGAAAACAGGTATGGGAAGAGTGAAATAAAATGTTCCTGGTATTTTAGCAGCCAGCAGATGACATCGCGATTTAGCTATGTCAGTAGAATCCAAGTGATGAAATAAATT